TTGCCTCTTTCTGTGTGTTCTTGTAATTTTTGTTGTTCTCCATTTAACGAGTTTGTTATAGGATCTTGCTGTGATAATATTAACGTAATTTGAAATGTTAGGTGTACATATGTTCATCTTCGTGGAAAATATTTTTATAAATACATAAATACACATGAATTCAAAAATTAAAAATTATAAAATATTTTTATTTACTAAACAAAGTCCAAAGTCCCATAAATAAAAATGTTTTATATTTTTTATTTTAAAAATTAATGAAAGTAAATATTCATAAAAATATCCATTTATGACGTACAAATTAAAATCAAAATACTTTTTGAAAAAAAAAAAGTACAAAAAATATAATTAAGATAATGAAAGGAAGTGGATCTGTTAAACAATAATTAAGATAATACACTTTCTTTTTTTGTGTATACTTGATTTGACATTTCTCTAATTGTCCAAATAATTAAGTTAATTAATGTCCTAATTACACTAATTTAATTATTATAAAATATTCATTAACTTTATTAAAATTTAACTCGACTTAATTATTAAAATATTAATAAATTAAATTAAATATTATAAACTAATTACTATTAATTTATAATATATATATTTTAAATAAAATATAAAATTTTTAACTATTAAAAACCGTGTTATTAATAATATTTTATTAAAATTATACAAATTAATTTCAGACCCATTAATTTCCAATTTTCTATTAAAAAAAAAAACTTCAAATAAAGGTTATAAGTATATATATATATACATTCAATTTCTATACAAATTTTCATTTTCCTAAATATAAAACCTTACTATTTTTCCAAAATTTCCCAACAAAATGTTGAAATTTGATGAGATAGATTCTATATAGCTGTGTTGATATGTAAGTTTCTAAAACCAATTTGTCTCCTATCAATAATTTGTCTCATTGATTACTTAGTTTCCATCTCCAACTTCCTTGTCAAATTCCCACAAATGCCTGCTGCCACATCTATTTTTGCTCCCCTCTCTGCCAAAATTATTGTCGTTTTTCTTCGTCACAATTCGCTGTCATTGCCCGAAAAAATTTCGTCGTAGATTGGTCCCCAATACAACTTGCGTAATACAAACTCTCGATTCGACAATAGTAATCGTAACTAGTAGGTTTTCTATTTATAGCATTATAATATTAATATTTCGTATGAGATACATGTTTGGAAGATAAATTTAGTTTTGACAAAGTAAATTGTATAAGATTTAAACATGAACCGCAAATTCTCATTCGAAAATAACTCTTTCTATGTTATTATTAACGCGAGGATTCAATTCGAGAAGTAAATAAAGAGATTAACGGATTTTGAAAGAAGAAAAAAAAGAAAAGTTCCAAAATAAATAGTACATAGAGAAGAGGAAATAAGATATAAATACACTTTTTTTTTTTTTTTTGCAAGTTTAGTTGTTTTATTAATGCTTGAATTTAAAATTTTGATTCTTACATTATGAGAAAATTATTCTATAAATTTTTTCATCTTACATAGATTAAAACTAAATAATTAAATAGATCAAACCTTTGATCAATTTACTTAACAAAATATTAAACTTTAGGTATTAGTTTTGTTGGTTGATTACCAATGAAAGAAACCAGTGTCTTCATCAAATCTAGAGCTTGATCAGAATTAGGATTCTTCAGATGAAAGGTGTGGCCTAACCCTTTGCTCTCAAATATCTCTACACTTCCTCTCCAACCACTTTTCTTTAAGTTCTCGTAGTAAAACATACCACCATTTTTAAAAATGTCTTTCTCACATAAGAACACCAGCACCTTATCACACCCAGTCTTTTTCAAATCTTCTATGTTCGGTCTTTTTCTACGATCTTGTAATTCAGTGTTAGCTTGACATAGGTACATCCATAATCTATTATGAAACACACCCGTACCACCAAAATATGGGTGAATCAATGCTGCACCAACCACCTTCACTCCCGCCAACCCATTTGATCCGAGTTGGACTAACATGTTATGAACTATATTTGCCCCAGCACTATCACCTAGCAGAAAGGTCTGCTTAAAATCAACATAGTTGTTCAGCCACAGATTTTGATCAACCCCATTAGCATGTGCTGAAATCCACTTTAGAGCAGCCCAAGAATCATTATAACAAATAGGTATCGGGTGCTCTGGTGCCAGTCGGTAGTCAATAGAGATAGCAACTATATTGGCCTCAGCAGTTATGGAAGATACATGTTGATCGTAAATCGGGTCAAATGCAGACCTTAAAGAAAACCCTCCACCATGGAAGTAAACAAGGAGAGGAAGTTTCTTAACTGGATCAACTACTCGGGGCATAAAAAGGCGGCCAGAGATGAATGGATCATTCGAGATGATGACGTCCTTGGAAACAACTCCGACCCGACGGGAGTAATCTGAATTAGGTGAAATTTTCTTAATGGGTTTGTATCTATGAATCCGACCATCTTTATAGACTCGAAAGTAGGGAAAGAACTCTTTGGCTACCTGATTGTTAACTGCGTTAATTGAGTTGATGACCTCCATATTTGTTTGGTAGAGTTTCAGTAAGGTTTTAAGGGCGTAATATGCTAATATTAATGGTGAATGTTCTTACAAGATTTTTGAGGTTTATATACTTGATTTAAGAGCAAAGGAGATGGAGAAATCTTTCATAGATTGATTCTTATTTAGTATTTAAGTTTCTTTTCTTGGAGAGTAGTGTAGTATATTAAGTTATATAGTTGTGTGTGCATTTATAGTATATATACATATATCTTAAATTGAACTCTTATTATTTTAATTTAAATTGAACTCTTCTTCCTATTGAGAACAAAAGAAATTAATATTTATTTTCTGCACAAATAATTTTTTGGCTAAATAATTAACTTTAGACATTAATATTTGTTTCTATTCATTTCTAGGAGGATTTAAAATTGACTTATGTTTTGCATGTAATATTTAATTTAATAAAATATATAAATTTATATTAGAAAATGGTTATATTATGTAAAATTTTTAATAGAATATGTGAATATAGTATATTAATGAGATATAGAACCTAGTTAATTAGATATAATATATTGGATATTGTTTTTTTTTAAATTTTTTTTCAAATATATGTATGCCGAAAGATGCTAGTTTCTATTAACTAATGTTAAATTATCTCGTGTTACACAGGAGTTATAATTTTTAAAATTAATTATTTAACAAATAAATTAAAGCTAAATAAAAATTAAATTCTTTTTTTATATTTAAAATAAATAACATATTATCAAAATTATTTTTATACTTCAAATAGATAATTATTATATATATTATCATATTAATTTTATTTTTATGATTCAAATTTTGAGTAAATAATATTTAAAATTTTTATCTTTATATAATATATATGATCATAATCATCAAATGATTTTATTTTTATATTTCAAAATTTAAATAGATAGTATCTAAACTTTCATTTCCACATAATAAATATATATATTTGTAATTAATATTAGTAAATTATTTTTATTTTTTATTTCAAAACATTAAGAAAATATTCTATGAAATTTTCTGGTATTAATTATATATATATATATTGATATGGGTTCATGAACTTAATTAACGTCTAACTTGCTCTTAATAAATAATTCTATAATAAGCTAAATCGTAAGAAGATCAATTAATGGACCCTGACTTTGGAACAAAATCATATCAACATTAAATGTACATACATATCTATTTATATATATATATATATGTATCATCAATGTAAAAGCTCAAATCCCCTATATAAGGGTTTTAGTCTAAGCATACTAATAATAATACTAAAATTTTTATTTAACGTAAAAATTAAGGACTCGAATATTACATTCATTGTAAGTTCACTTAAAATGCTTACATAGGAGTTATGAGAATGTTTCAAATTTTAAAACGAGAAAATCACTAACAAATAAATATAATTAACATCTATTCAAAATTTACGAATAGAAAATAGATGGTTGCTTAGCTGGTCTCTTAGTTTTTAGGATTCAAATATTAGTCGTCCTGATATGAAATGATTAATAAGAAGGGGGTGAGCTGCACTAGTTCAGTAAGAATATTAACACCTTACAACTAATATGAAAAATAAAAAAACTGTAGAAAAATATAAATGACCGATGGAGCATAACTTTAATGAAATCTGAATGCTAGTGCATTTATTGTTCGATTTACTGAAAATGTTAATATTCTATTTCGTAACTAATAGTCTATCAATACAAACATTAATAAAAGCAGAATGACGATTTAATCGTAATAAGCATATATTCTAATAAACATACACGTTTAGTTCTTAACTGTTTTACCCGAAATCAGTATTCATATTATACTCGTTCCTATCTTACCACATTTATCTTTCC